CGGAGGGACCTCCAAATGGATGGACTTTACATGATGATTTGGCCCTCGGGGGCCGGCTGCCGCTGGTGTCGTGCTGCTGCCGTCCGCATTGGATCTGTTCGAGTTGGAGAAAATTAAAATAGCTTAGCCCATTTTCGCAGAATGAGGGCCGAACTTTTTTTTTTCGACCCCCGCGCAGCAAGTTGCTCCCCTGTCGGCTTTCACAGCGATCGTGTCCCTAAATCAACCGTGGTCACTCCTGTTACTGTGCTTCTTGCCGGCCGGGATACGTACCTTATTAGTCTGTACGGCATGCTGTCCATCCAGAGTAGGGAAATGTAGTCGGAGTAACACGAGAGGGACACCTTACACCTAGCCCCATTGCCGGACCTTTTTCTTTTACCTGCTTCTTCCTAAGCTCCCCATCGCGACCTCAAGCTTCACTTTTTCCCTGTTTCTTTTTCTTCCGTGAGCTAGGTTGGGACCTTGTCGAGATCTGCATTTATCTCATCCCTCGCTGGAAACGCAGTGCGACGACATCTTGTTTCTCGGCTGTGGTTTCTGAAAGTCTCACCTCACCGCCGCCACGGTCCCACCAGAATTCAGAGACATTTCCCATCGTTTCGCGACAGAGGGAAAGTCCAGAACGCATTCTGCCCGCACACGCGCTCGAGTGGCTTCCTGACCATTCCACCACTCCTTTTCGCATCCGGCGAGAGGACACACTGCTGCAACGTAGCCGTTGATCCCTTCGTCAAACCAACACAATGGCTCCTCAGACAACGACGGCGGCAGCCGCGCCCAACGGCGACAACCTCGACTATGAGCCCATCAACGTAATTATTCCAATCGGCGGCATTGGCTCTCGCTTCGCCAAGCAGGGCTACCGCTACCCGAAGCCCCTCATCAACATCGTCGGCCGTCCCATGCTGCTATGGCTGATCGACAACCTGAGCCTCAAGCCCGGCGACACCTTGTGGATGGCCGTCAACGAGGAGATTGACGACGAGTTCAGAATCGGCCAGCTCGTCAGCAAGACCTTCTCCAAGATCGACTTCAGGCTGCTGCGCCTGCGGCACCAGACCAAGGGTGCCAGCGAGACGGTAAGCTACTAATTCCTCTTTTGCGCCCGCTCGCCAATGGAGGGGCAGAGGGCGCAGAGCCAAGTGCGAGGCCCATGTCGCTAATCTCTTGTCTTCCAGCTGTACATTGTCACCCAGAGCATGACCAAGAAGCACCTCGAGCGCAAGACTGTCTCCCTCGACTGCGATACCATCTACTGGGCCGATGTCCTCCAGGACATTCGCAACATGCCCAAGGGCCATGGCGGCTGCTTCTACTTCCCCGACGTCGGCGACAAGCCCATTTTCTCATACATCAAGACGGAGGCTACAAAGTGAGTCGCATGTGATTGTGGGAAGTTGCGGTGCTAACAGCAACAGGGACGGCTTGGAGCGCATTGTAGACATCCAAGAAAAGAAGGCCATTTCCAACAAGGCCAACACGGGCGCATACGTCTTCCCTACGGCAGGGCAGCTCAAGTCATGGGCTTCGGAGAACCTCGACATGAAGAGGCCCGACGGCTCAGAGGTGGGCGAGTACTACACCTCGCAGATGATTGCCCTCATGATCCAGAACGGTGTTCCCTACCTGGGCATGCCCGTCAAGACGAAGGATTTCAGCGTCGTTGGCACTCCCGAGCAGCTTCAGGACCTCCTGAAGCTTCTCAAGTCCGACACCTCTAACCTGCCGATCAAGTTGAAGAAGCGCCGCTTCTGCTTCGACCTCGACATGACCCTTGTCGGTGTGCCCGCCATTCCTGGCGACTACTCGACGTGCCCGCCCATCGAGAAGAACATTCGTCTCGTGCAGCAGCTGTACAACGCGGGCCACTACATTATCATTGTAAGTCGATCTTGGCGCTTGGCAGGGATGAGCGACGGCTAACCGGACGGCAGCAAACCGCTCGTCGCATGCGAACACACAAGGGCAACATTGGTTCCGTGCTTGCAGATGTCGGCCCCGTCACCTTTGCCCAATTGGCCAAGTACGAGATCCCGTACCACGACATCCACTTCGGCAAGCCCTACGCCGATGTCTACGTCGACGACTTGGCGGTCAATGCCAACCTGGATACCATGCGGGAAATCGGCTGGCTGCTGGACGAGCAGGACCCTGCCGCACTAATCGGCGAAGAGGCCAGCGCAGGCGAGGAGGCGAAGAAGGCCGGCATGATTGCGGCGCGTGACTTCAACACGATCCAGATTATCGGCGACAAGGTCATCAAGTCGAGCAAATCGGAGAACATTCTTGGCGAGCTGTTCTTCTACTCACACATGCCCTCCGAGATCTCCCACATTTTCCCCACCGTCTACAATGTCGACTACATTGCCGACACCTCCATCTACAACATCACAATGGAGAACCGCCGCGGTCTGACCTTCTCTCACCTGCTGGTCGGCCGCTCCATTACCAAGGGCCGCCTCATCTCCCTCCTGAAGTCCCTCCACACTATCCACACCACCGCCAGCACCGATAAGGCTACCCTCAAGATCCCTTCCGCGCTGGAGAAGAAGTTTGAGGAGCACTCCCTGGCGCGCGCGAACCACCGGGTCAACATTTACGCAAACTACGGCTCCAAGCTGCGCAGCCGCTACTACAAGGACCAGGACAAGTACGACGCCCTTGGCCCCTTGGCCGGCTCCCTCTTTGCTCGCATCAACGAGTTCCTCGACACTTACGAGGCTGAGGAGAAGGGAGTGCACGCTCAGGTCATCCACGGTGACCCCGTCTTCAGCAACGCCATCCTGTCCAAGGACGAGAAGCTCGTCAGCTTCATCGACGTGCGCTGCCAACTCGAAAACACCCTGACCCCCGAGGGCGACATTCATTACGACCTCGGCAAGGTCCTCCAGTCTCTCTGCGGCTACGACCACATCCTCTTCATGAGCGCAAACAACCACGACCTCCGTGGTGCCCTGGAGACTGATGCGCCCCTGCTTGATGAGGCCGATCAGGATCTTCTCAACGAGCTGCAGGAGGTCTTCTTCACATTCCTCGAGGAGACGTACTCTGTCCGCCTCCACCGCAAGACTCTCTTCCGCATCACTGCTTCTCTCTTCTTCAGCCTTATTCCCCTGCACCGCCCCGAGCTCGGCGCCGTCTTCCTGCGCATGTGCAAGGAGACGCTCGATAAGGCAAGCAACATCAACTACGGCCCCAACGCGCGCTCCATTGCGGGTTTGACGCTCAGCCGCCGCGCGAGTTCCAACTTTGCGGATGAGAGCGGACGCGAGATGCCTGTCGCCAACACCAACACCAAGGGCGAGAGCCTCGATATCCCCAACGTTGTCGTCAGCTCAAAATAGGTCTCTGTTGCTTACGGGATGTAACGCCGGGGGAGGAGGAGGAGGAAGGATATAGCGAGCGGAGTCAGGGACGGAACGAGATGTAGTGCTGGCCACGGGTTATAATACACCGAGATGTGGGTTGCTTGTGTGGGTTGCATTGATGTCATGGGCGGAGAGCTCTTGTGGGGTCAATTCATTGGGGTCTTTTTGCGGGGAACTAAAATCACAAGTGGTGTCTTGTCTGCCGCGATTTGCTCTTTTTTGTATTGGAAAAAAAGGAGCGATACTGTTTCTTCTCTTCATGTCTATTGTTCCAGAATTGATGAGGATCATGTACTACTATACCAAGTTACACCAAGAGTCATGTGTTACGGATCCACTGAGGCACTTCAGTTGGGAAACTAAGACAGTGAACGATAATTGTTGTCGTGAGAGCCACATGACTGGTTGGTTTGTCTTTGCAGGGGCTTGTGGCCCGAGGTTTCTTCACACCCAACGGTTGGTGGCGTCAGATATGTGGCGTAGCCGTATGTCTCACAGCATGAAGCTAGAGCCAATGTCAACTTGGCCAAGGACGACCGGAGTTTGAGTTGGTTGTCGAAGGCCTTGTTTCGAAAAGACTGCCGTCAGCTTGATTAATCTTTGTAGTTCCACAAGTCGTATGGTTTCGGTCTACACCACGGACACCGGGGTAGTAGTGTCTGCCAGCGGCAACTTGCGCATGTCTCCCATTGAACCCAACTCGTGCAGGGAAATGGAAATCGCAGGCATATCTCCATTGGCAACGGCTTCGAGATCCTTATCCTTCTGCCTGTCTTCCTCTTTTTGATGGGTTGATTCCTTGTAGGATACCTCAAGCCCAGCCAGCTCAAGCCTATCAATAACTCCGGCAGCCCACTCGTCCGGGTCAAGGCCTTCTTCGAGGTTGGAGACGTGTTTGTCGGCCAGCTCAAGCCCCCGCCGGCGACAACTCCGGCAGCCCATGTTTCGCCCGGGTGCGACCCGACCACCTCTTGGTGACCGTTTATGATGAGCGTCGTGTTGTTATTGAGAGCAGAGGGGTATCTGACGTTGGGCATTGCGTCGGTATGTGCTTGCTGAGGTGGGGCTGCTGGCCGGTTGGGCAGAGATATGGACCAGGAGGCGGGGTTCAATAGGGGGGTCAAGGTGAAGTGATTACTTGGAATTTGGCATAGAGTTTCTTTGAAAAGAGTACCATGACTGGTTGGTTTCATCTGAGTTGAAGAGTTAGACGACCCGTTTAGGTAGAAGCAAGCCATTGGAGGGGGAGACGCGCACGAGGAGGTTAAGCAGTGGAGTTACCTCGTTCTTCGAGAACGCCACCGCGAAAACAACTTTTTCTCCGTTAAGAAGGGTCATTGGGTGTGGCTTTGATGAACTTGAAGCGTAATGACTTGCATTTCTCAGTATTTGAACTAGCCTTTTGGCGGCTTGCTCACGATGACAAAAAGTGACCGCATGGTCGAGCGTGTTGGTGACCTCAGTTTCATGCCGTAATGGTATAGCAACAATGCCATGCAACTGGTCGGTAAGCGAGTAGCCAGGCAAGAGTAGAGCTCCACGAAAATTCTTACGCTGAACACGACTGAAGGAGGTAAATGGAGGTAGAAAGAGATACACGCGTAGTATTACTCCAGACGAACTCCCTGTTCAGCGAAAAGGGTGCACGTCATATTGCTCGTCAGTTCCCGCAAGCTTTCTCATATGCTCAATCTTCTTCACCTTCTCCATCTTCGAGATAGCGACAATGGTGTCGTCGTCGAAGGAGCCTTTATAGTAATCGCCGAGCATCAGTGGTCCAGGGTCCGTCACGACTCCCGAAGCAGGATTCCTCGGAACAACACCGAAAACCTTTGCCAAGTGACTTGGATTATCGCCCCAATTCTTTGGCCACATGTGGACTTTGAAATAGTGGTCGTAGACCTCCCAGTCGCCCTGAGCCTTCTCAATAACATCTGGCCCCCTTTTGCACATATCCTCTAGGTTCATGACGTTCATGACTGTCATCGTGCGGGTCTCCTTATCGGTGTATGTCTTTGACGCCACCGGCCATCTCCGGGTGCTCTGTTTCAAAGGAAGGTATGGGTGGGGTACGATGGGGATGGATTCGTCCTTGGTCGTAATGGTCGTCGCTACGGCTACTGGTGGTACGGTGACGGTGACGGATGATGTGTTGGAGGAAAGCTTGGAGGAGAGCTCGGAGGAAAGCTCACCGAACTCTGACCTCAGTTTTCAAGCCCAAGTTGATAGGATTATGGTGACGATGAGATACGAAAGACTGACAAGGCCGCGCATCATGATGAAGTTTGATCTGGTCAGTCTCGTCATCCTAGGATTACGGCGGAAAACTGTAAGTTAAACAATTACCATATGAATCTCGTCTCGAGTAGCTCTTGTTTACCTTGATAAATGCGAACTGGTAAGGTTGGTCTAGCTAATTGCGGTGATCCGCAGGAGGTTGAAATGTATATACATGTTCCGCCGCAGGGGTTGCGCCATTACTCAAGGCGCGGTCTCATTTCGTCCTACTTTTAGATGTTCAACCTTTCTGAACCCATCCAGCTTCGAGATTCCAACGATTGCATCCTCGCTGAAATACCCCGAATAAGTCATCTGACAAGACTTCCTCCAACACATGTGATGAGGCCACGACATCACCACCCCCGCAACTCCGGTTTCTCTGAGAAGACGACAGACCTGGCCGAGATGCGTAGTCAGTGTGTCCATCCCGTGTGCAACATGAATCTTATAGCCATGGTTTTCGATCTTGTCGCCGTCGTTGGCCCGAGTGATGTTATTTCCCAACCTTTTATAAACATAATGGAGGTTCATGGCGTCTTGTGGTGTCTCGTTCGTCCTGTACCGTGAAAGATGCTCCCCAGGGAACTTTGGGTCCTTGCAGAGGCTTTTGCTTAGGTCTTGGACGAACGAGTACTCCAGTTCTACCGTCGCAAGCGGGATCGTAGCCGGGCGTTGGTCTATCGGTTTGCTCGCGGGACGCACATGTGAAGTGATGTCGGCCACCTGGCTGTTGATTGCCGTTCCGATGGACGGCGGCCAGTCCAGCTTTGAGCTGAGGCCCAAGGCGCAGAGGATGATGCTGACATGGGCGATGAATTGGACGGCTTGTGCAAGGCGGCCGAAGGAGCCCTCGGCATTGGCGCGTTGTTGTATCGAGTGTTTAGTCATGTTAAGCGCGGATCTTTGCGACTTTTCATTGAGAAGAAAGGTTTGTGATGATGATGTTCCGCGGGCCGTTAAACAGCATAGGCAAATACGCAAGGTAGCGGCACAAGGCGGATGGGAACGTACCATCAGTCACCTTTGCAAGGCCATTGAGTAAGATAGACTTCGTTTCCACATGCGGAGGCTTTACACATTGAGTCTACAAAATGAATACAAAAAAGTGATGAAGTTCATGAGCGCCAAATACAGGGCTAAAAGTCTCGTCTCTCAAGACCGCAACCACGCTGCAGCATGCCCGAACTTCTCTCTAATGGCCTGACCTAGGTCATTGCCCTCCTCCACATCAGCCCCAATCTCCTTCACCCAGCTCTCCCTGTCGGCCGAAGCCAAAGTTGGAAGAATCTCGAGGACCCCGGACAGCTTGGAGATCATCACCAGCGTGTCGTCGTCAAAAGCACCGACGTAGTTCGAGTACTTGAGGCTTCCACCCTCTCCTGGCCAGTAGCTGATGAACCCACGGGCTCCAGGTACCTTGAGCAAGGTACACACCGTATCGAGGTGGTTCTGCACCTCCGCCTCCGACAACTTGAGTGAGATGGTGTAGTGTTTGTCAAACGTGGTTATTCCGTCACCGCGAGGCTTGAATTTGTCCCCGATGCGCTGAAGAAGCTCGGCGGGGTCTGACCGATTCGTCTGAGGCGATGCGAAAGGAGAGATGGAGCCCACGCAGCGGTTTTGGCCGAAGCCAATGGCAATGTACCACTTCAAGGGGTTGTCGGCTTTCTCGAACGGTGCTGCTGTCTCGACCGGCGTAGAGGAGATGATGGGGTTTGCGTGTTCGAGAATGCAGTTTCCGGCGCACCTTGTAAAGCTGAGCAGCTGACTGCCGATCAAGCAGGATGCCAACGCGCATAGGACGATGAGCGTTCGGAAATGGTTTCGGCCTGTGAGTTTTGCATCTTGAGTTATCTGAGGGCTCCAGGTGTATGTCTCCTTTCCTGGTGCCGTCCCCTGATACGGTTGTGGTGTCTTGCGTGTCATCTTGATGTTGTCGATGGGCGCGGGTCCCAGGATTTGGGGGCAGGGTCTGCTCATCACCCCTTTAAAAGGGGATAGACATCTTCCAGTTCCATCAGGAGAACCCTTTCTCAAAATTCTGACGCCGCTAGCCAGCGGCACCAGCGGAAGCCCAGCTGGAAACGTGGCTGGGAAAGCATTATCTTAGGTACGACTAGCCCAGGTCTCCCCGATGAACAAAGAAAAACACCACCTTTGGCAATACAACGATAAAAGTTGGTGCTATTGGAATTCGACAGCACAAAGAAAAGTCACTGAATTGCAACGTGTCTTTATTGGAAAGCTTGAAGGATTATTTTTCTTCAAACTCCGGTGTTGGTGTCGGTAGATAGTGGCCCACGAAGTCTAGATCCCTAGGGGCGGCCAGAAGAACCCAGGGCATCGGCTAACCGGGATATCTTGTTTAGTTTACCATGATTGAATATGACACTCTTACCGACCGACCCGAGCTAAGAACACCACCTATCGTCGCTTCCCATCCGCACGCACATAGGCAATCTTGGCCACCCCAGGCAAACTTGAAATCGCCACCAGTGTATCTTCATCAAAAGCACCAACATAACTCATGGTCCTGAGCGTGTCTGCCTCGAAGTTCTTCACGACGCCTTGGGCGCTGTCTCTCTTCAGGATATTACAGACTGCGGTGATGTGTGTAGCCATAATGTTGCGTTTCGTCATCGCGTAGGTCCTCACCATGTTCGTGTAAGAAGATTCCGTCTTTGCATAATCCTCTGCTGGAAGCCTTCCGCTGACCGTCATAGAAGATGGCGGAGAAGGGAAAACGCCGGGGTCGAGCAAAATGCGGAAGAGCCCTCTCATGATAATTCCTGGTTCCTGAAACGTCTCCATCTTGTCGCCGAGTCGTTCCTCAAGTTTACGGAAATCGCGTGGTTGAAATGCTATTGTGTATGGCGACAGTTGAGATCCACACCAATCAGGTGGTTCTGGGCCACCGAACCACATCCAAAACGGCATACTTCCAATGTCGTCCGCCAGCGTCTCCGTGGCATACGAGACCGGGGGTTCCGTTGTCTTTGATGCTTCGTGGAAGGACGCAGAGGAGTCATTCTCGTTAATCGTGTTGAGAACGATATGGTGGGTATAGTTGTGAGCGACGTGAGTTCCACAAGTAGTTTGCCCTGGGTGCGCGAGAGCTTGAAGCGCAAGGTAACTGAGGTGATACAGATACATTCCGAAGCAAATAAATAGAACCGCGAACTCACCAATCTTTCGACCTGTAAACAGGTATTGAACAGCTTGGCGAGTCATTGTAGGTGTTGATGTTCTTGGTGTATGTGAAGGGATGAAGACCGGGGAAGATTAATGGTGATGCGGTGATGTTGGAGGGGAAGTTCGATTGACATGAAATGACTGTGCAGATAGCTACTTTAAAGAAAATTTTGGACTTAAGGTACCTTGAGATGCCTAGTCTTTAAGATATGAGCGCCTGCATGGTTGTAGTCTATAAGTCAGAATGTCAGTGCAGTGACAACTTTTGTACCTTGCATAGCCAACCTTGGTGCGCTTGAACCTTTCGCACCGTTTCGCCGATGGCATGCTCCTGATGAGCAAGGTTGGATACCGAAACGGCTTCCATCATCACAGGATTGATTACGAGTAGTGTAGCCGACTCTCATTTTCATCAAATGTACCAATCTAGTTTCTCATGAGATATCTGCATAATACTCAGGCAAATCTCTGAAGTACCGAAAAATGAGCCACAATGACCAACACCCATCTCCCTCATATCACCAAGGCTGCTGCTTGCTACGGAAATGGTCCCGCGGGACTTGGTGGTGGAAGACCGCAGAAACCTCCTCCATCTTTGCAATCTCCACGATTGCGTTGTCGTCAAGAATGGCTTGGTACGAGTAGCCCTCCCTTCCTCCAATCTTGCGCAGGATGAATCCGCCCCCAGACTTACGAAGCATGCCGCAGACCTTCTGCTTGTGCTCCTTGGCCTTCTCCGCTCCAATTCTGAGGTCGATGTTAATATCGAAGTGTCTGTCCCCGACGTAACGTCCCTCCCTTATCGGCAGCATCTTGGTTCCGATCTTGTGCTGCAGCTCCGTAGGATTCATGGGCTTGCTCTTGGTGAAGTCGAAAGGACGCAGGGAGCTTCCGCAGTAGTTGTGATCGAAGTAACCGTTTACAACTCTCTTGGGTGGCGTCAGGATCTGCGCGGTGATTGGGGCGAAAATGGTATTTGAGAGCCAGTCGATGTCGGACTGCGTTCCATGGGACGTCAAAGGGTACTGGGTGTCATCTGGCTGAGCCGACGGGGCGGGGGTTGCAGCGGCAGTGACAGTAACAGTGCTCGTTCTCGTTTTCGTGGGAAGGATTGCCGTGATACCAGTCGTGATGGTTATCGTGGAGGTTTGGGTTGCTGTGATGGTCTCCGTGGCTGCCCTGTTGGCAGTCGTCTTCTTCGACATGTTGCCAACTTCATTTGCAGGTGCAATCACCACAAACAGAACCATGTAAAAGATTGAAACCACTGCGAAGATGATACAACCGCTAAGAAATTTGGCGAGCAAGCGTTCCTGCCTTGCCAAGCACTGGTGGTGATCGTGCGTCCTCCCATCATGGTCTCTGGAAGTACCACATGTCTTTAATTCGGGACTCTTGTTATTGATTCCACAGATTTTGGATTCGCATGTCTTGGAACCAGCCATCTTGAATGATTGTTCAGGTGTAGTTGATTGATGTAGGATAGATAAAAGGTTTCATGGATGTTGCGATGGGAAGATCATGAGTTAGACACAAGGGGGCTGACGGGGCCTTTGTACTATGAAGCTTCCTTTCTCCGATGATAATTGACACTTTTGTAAAGGCAACGACGAGTCGAGACTTTCCCCATGAAGTCTCTAATCCTTTCCCTGAATATCTCGCTACTCTCCAGGGACTATGGGTCTACATGTTGATACCCCAGAGTAAACACCGATCAGGCATCTTTCTCCACTTATGACACGGAGCTGAGGAACCTTGAAATGTGCTTCCCGTGTCTGTTGTGAGCCTGATCGAGGTACCTCTTTGACTCCCGTTTTCAGACTCTTCCGATAAAACTTCTCGCCATCTATGTTGTCTTTCTCATTTTCCTCTCAAGCCCAGCGCCTCCCGCGCTGACTTGATCAAAAGTCGCCCTAAAATGACTCCAAACTCGAGAAGTCTGACTTTGTTTGTGGGCTTCCATGCAAGCGATTGTCACGTCACGTAGTCACATAGATGCAGCTGATTTCAGAAATGACCGCAAGTTCGTTATCTAGTGCCTGCTCACCCAAGCAGCTCAATACCTGAACTAGCTAACCATTTTCTGCTGTGAATCTCCTCAATGTCCGGTTTCCTCTCTGATATCATCTCTGCTGTCCTGAATCTTCTCGTCTACCGTGCCATTGTCATCTTCTCTCGTGCCATCATCTCTCGTGCCATCATCTCTCGTGCCATCATCTCTCGTGCCATCATCTCTTGTGCCATCGCCTTTTCTACTGTCGTCTCCCCTTCCTCTGCCTTCCCTGCCATCATCTTTCCGCATCGTCCTGTGTCGCCTTTAGATGTACCACATGGTGTTCCTGAACATCTCGGTCGATGCGGGGTCGGCATCACCACTGGTGCCGCCGAGGGGCAGAAGCTGGAGAGCTTCGGTAGGTCTGTCGCCGTCGAACATGCTCTGGCCACGAGCGCCGTACTCCTCGACCATCTCGGCCGCCTTGGGTCCGCTGCGGAAGCCCTGGGAAGTTGCAATGTTCTCGTGGGCACGAGCGCGGCCGGCAGCCAGGTCGGCATAGTAGATGGCCGGGTGCAGAGAGACGGGGGTGGTGCTACGAGCGTACTGGTAGCATTGGCCGTAGATCATCTTCTGCAGATCGTTAGGCTTCATGTTGGCCTCGTCGACAAGCACAGTGTAGTGGACAGGGCGGGCCGTGCCCTGGATGGCGACGTGCGAGCAGAGATAGAAGTCCCACCAGAAGGGGTGGCAGACCTCCTTCTCGAGAAGGGTGCCGGGCAGAGGGTTTCCGTTCTTGTCACCCTGCTGGGGGAAGAAGCGGACGTGGTGACGCTTGGTAGCCACGATGACGGTGAACCTGGGAAGGGTCGCGCCGGGGTATTTCTCCTTGAAGATGGCCTTCAGCGTGCCGATCTCGTATTCGAGAACCTGGGCGTACTGGCCCTCAGAGACACCATCGCGGAAGTAGATGATGTGGGGGGGAGGAGCCGGGTGACCCATGCGCTTGTGCCAGGTAGGCATCAGGCGGGCCAGGAAGTTGCGAGTGTTGACGGGAGAGAGCATCTCAACCCGGTAGCCATTGGTGTCGACTGCAGCGGCGTAGAAGGTGGCGTCCTGGTCCATGGACATAGTCATCGTGGCCATGGAAGGGGCATCGATGCCGGGGGTCGCGTGGGAGACGTCGACGCCAATCATCATCGTCACCCTTTCGAAGAAGGCAGGCGCCTTGCTGTTCGGGCCAAGCTTCTGGTTCGGGATACGGCAGGTAATACCGCCCAGCTTGGCATTGACCTTCATGGCGACATTCGAGTGGTACTGGCCTTGGTTCTTCTCGACGTGGCGGGCAAGAACGCACTGGGTGAGGACGCCGAAGCGACAGTCCGCAGACTTCTTGATGCGCTCGTAGGAGCCAGCGTTGTTGAAGCGCAGGACGCAGAAGATCAGCTGGGGCGTCATGCCCGTAGCCTTCTTGATCGCCTTGTAGCCGTTGGCCAAGGCCAAGGCCATGTCACCCTGTCTAGACTCGCTGTCAATGACAACAGCGTCCTTCAGAATCTTGCCTCCATGACCAGTGTAGGTCTGCTTGAACATCTTGACGAACTGGTCGGCAGCGGGCTTTCTGGTGGAGTCCTCAAGGATGAGAATACCCCAGGACTGCAGGGGCTGGCGGTTGCCGACCCAGAACTTCTTGCCGCGAAGGTCCCAGCGGCCGGCGAACATGGGGCTGACAACGTTGTTCGCATACTGGATTTTGGGGGGCTCAAGCAAGCAGCCTTGGGTCTTCGCCATAGCCTCGTCGAAGACGACACCGTACTGCTTGAGGTAGGGGTCATCCTTCCACGCCAACTGGGCCTTCGCCTCCATGATGTCCGCCTTGCGCACGTTGGGACGCGTGACGGCGCCCTTGATCATCATAGCCGTCTCGTCAGGACCCAACTTGTAGGGGTAGCGCTGCATTGGCTTGATAATGCAGACTTCCATGGGGAAGAAGCCGGCCTTCTGAGTCTCGATGAGGGGCCAGTTGGGGAACTGAAGCTTGAAGCCGTAGGTCTTCTGGAAGTACTCTGCGACCGTCATTTCCTCGCCGTTGTTGGTGAACTTGATGTTGTTGGCGGTGGCGCCTCTCTCGCCGTATTCCTGCCCGAATGCGATGGCCTTGATTACGTACACCTTCGCCCAGTCCTCCTTGCCCCGATGGCGAGGGGTGAAACGCAGCTTGGCCAGCTTGCGCAGGTGCTTGAAAGCGTCAGACATGACGAAGACGGCGCCGTTCTTGCTGTTTTGGCGGACGGGCGCAAGAAGCCTGGCAATGTCATCGGGGCTCTGGTTCTTCCATCTCTTGTCGCAGGTCTCGAGGAAGGAACGGACGAACATGTGCAACTGCATGTTGCCCTTCCAGAAGGCAGTGTTGGCGACGTCCACATTCAGTCCAAGTCCTCGACCAATGCTACCGCTGAAGGACTGGTTCATGCGAACGGACGCGTACACACCCTTGACAAGCTCGATGCAGTTGCCAAGGTCGAAGGCCTTCTTGCGATGCTCGTTGTAAAAGTTGCGCTTGATGGAGAGGAGGTTTTCCGTGGGGTACTGCCGGACCAGGTGATCCAGGAAGTTCATCGCCTCAAGGACGGAGTTGTCCCAGTCCATGCGGTTGTTGAGGTAGGCCTCCAGGGCAGACAGATGAATTTGCTTCGTCTGACGAATGACGAAGAAGAACTTGTTCTCATCCTTACGGCGGGGCTTGCCGCTCTTGGGAGGGGGAAGGCCCTCATCAAGGTCGATGGTGAGACGCTCCTCACCGCGGTTGATGGCAACAGGAGCCCAGGCGAGCTTGCGACCGTCGCAGAGCCACAGGCACTTGTACTTCTTGAGCATCGCTTGGACCGTGGGATGCTTCCAGACCTTCTGGAAGACGACATTGTACTTCATCGGGGTAGGCGAGATCATAACATCGTACTGGTGAATGGTGGCTTTGTCGTTCCAGGACTTGACTCGGAACTGGTTGACCTCAAGGTTGCAAGGCTTGCCGGCCGTGTTGAATCCAGGGCGCTTGGCGAAAGGCGTCTCGCCGGCGTTTTTTCTATCCGCGCCGACGGTGTACGCCTCCGCAGGCAAGTCGATTCGAGTGTTCTTGTGGTCCTTCTCAGGACCGCCCTCAGGCTTGGCCGGGTCGAAGCCCATCGAAGGGCCGAAGGGGTTGGGACGCTGGGCGGCCTGGGAGCCGGAGCGAGAACGAGCGGGGCTGCCGGAAGACATCTTGATGGTGAAGTTAGTACGTGAATTGTTGTTGGTGTGTGAAGTGATTTTTTGTGTGTTGAGTGGCTCGTTGTGTTGTGAAATGGGTTGAGTTGAGTGGAGGATGGATAAGAGAAGAGAATTTAAATAGACAGAGCTGAAGCCTGAAGAGACCACAAAAGGAAGGAAGTAGTAATCCGGAAGGACCAGGCAAGTGTGATGACGGTGTCGGGAAGTAGCGAGTTTGGAGGTGCTTACCTTGGCTGTCGGTTGTTGGTGGTTGAATGCGGGTTGCTGTTGCGGTGGTCTGGAGAAGGTTGTTTGTAGGCTGTGAAAGCAGTTGTCAGTTGATGTTGTTTGCGGTTGCGGCTGTTTGTGTGTGGGCAGAAGAAGAAGTTTGTTTTGAAGTGGGAGAGAAGAGGCCTTTTTGTAGTGCTTGGAGGTGATGTTTGCGACTTCCGTTCAGAAGAGGCAAGAAGCAGCACGGGTAAGGGCAGGAACAGTGGTTATAGCAGTGGCAGATGCAGTAAGAGCAGTGACGATGGCAGCAGGGAAGGCGGGGGCGACGACAATGGCAATTACGTTGCAATGTAGATGCAGGACAAATGTTTGTCATAGACCATGTGGCATACCTTGGATGTGAATGGATGGATGTTGCTTGGGTTTGAGCTGGATGCGAAAGTGAAATGTGAGTTGTTGAGTTGTTGTGTGTGGAGGAAGAAGTTTGGGTTGAAGTGGAGGAGAAGACGCCTTTTTGTAGTGCTTGAGGAGGGGATTTTGGGACGGCCGCTGCTCACAACAGGCAGGAAGCACAAGATGAAGGAGGGAAGGAGTGACAATCTGGAGATGGCAGTAGGCAGGATAGCAAACTGTTTGCGCTTACCTTAGAAGAGTTCAGAGAAGCTGATTTTCGAAGCTGGTGATGAAGTTAGCAAACCGCAGGTGTGTACGGAGATGGATGTGGCAGAGGTAGAG